TGGGTCAGCCACATGCAAGGCAGATGCCTTACCTGCTGTACTATCGTTCTGGTCCCAAGGTCAACTTTTTAAAAACACTAATCTATGATCATCACTATATACATAGCACTCCGCTTTCTGGACGCTCAAGCAGAGCCTCACGCAAGAATGAAGTACCACAGAACCCAGAAAATGTGGAAATTTGTGACCTTGGACTTTGGACTCAACGGAACCCGAATCAGAGATCCTCTGCCTGCTTCCCCCAGTCTCCCATGACTCAAGGATTACACCCATAAGCCACACCCTGTTGGCACCAGATAATATCCTCATCGGCCACCCTTTAGAACTCAAGGATGCTCCTCCAAGATGGGAAGATAAAAGGAGGCTCCCAGAACCATGCCACCAGGCTGCACCAGGCTGTGGGGTGGATGAGAGCCCTCTGCACCCCAAGGGACCCAGCCCCAGCAGCTGACCTCCACTGCCCAACCACCGCCATGCTCCATGCAGCTTTCTGGACCCTTATAAGACACTTCCTACCTATTTATGCCTCTTGGAGAGCCCGGCAAGCTACCAAGAGTATCTCGTCCACATGGGCAGAGCCTGGTAAGCTCCCCGTGGCGAGCTGTATATTTGATAGGCCAAATACAGTAATGACAATAGGTCTAGTTCCCCTGACCCTGAGTCTCCAATCGTTGGGAAAAGGCGAGTAAGAAGAGGCTGCTAAAATCTCAGGGCTGGGAGGAATAGAGACATTATTGGCGCCCGCTTGAGTAATTCGAAAACCAACAGGATGACAGTGATACATAGCACTGATTGGTGCGTAATAACTCATTTTCTGGATGATTTAAGAATAAGTTCAGAAATTCACTCTACTTTTGTTTTATTTTTTTTTGCTTTTCTGGTCACACCTGGCGATGCACAGGGGTCACTCCTGGCTCATGCACTCAGGAATTACTCCTGGCGGTGCTCGGGGAACCATATGGGATGTTGGGAACTGAACCTGGGTCAGCCGCGTGCAAGGCAAACGCCCTACCCACTGTGCTATCGCTCCAGCCCCCTCACTTTTTAATTTTTTCATGTTGCTGGAGATTGAACTCTGGAGAAACTCAGTTTATTAACAGAGGCGTAAAACGGTAGCGAGGTTTTCAGAGATTCTACGGGTCACGTAAGATTGGCAATCACTAGTTTTCTCCTCTATAAGACTGGACTCGAAGGCTGGAGAGATCGTAGTGGGTAGGGTTCTTGCCTTGCACACAGCTGACATGGGTTTGATCCCTGGCACCACATGTGGTCCCCTTGAGCCCAACCAGAAATGATCCCTGAACACAAAGCTAGGAGTAAAGCCGTGCTGGGTATGGCTCCAAATAAACAAAATCAAAACACTGGACTCTATTCGGAAGTGTAATAATAGAATAATTCCATTGACAACTCTTACTAAGTAGCTCCAAAATGATTATATCCATTATTTCTGAGGAACGTATTAGTTTTTGTGTGTGTGTGCCACACCTGGCTGTGCTTAAGGCTTACTCCTGGCTCTGTGCTCAGGAACCATCTCTAGTGCCAGGGATCAAATCAAGACCATGCATATGTAAGGGAAGTGCCTTAATCCCTATACTATCTTTCTGGCCTAGGAAAATATTCTTTAGGAATAGAAAGGTAGCTGGAGCTCCTTACTTGGGTAGTAAATAAAGTCTACTTAAAAAAAAAAAAGTAGGGGCTGGAGAGACAGTACAGTGGGTAAGGTACTTACCTTACTTCAAACCTGGATTCGATCACCACCACCCCAATACGGTACTGAGCCCATCAGGAGTGATCCCTGAGCACTGAACCAGCATTAAGTCCTGAGCCCCCCCCGCCCCCCCCCCCCCCGTTGTATCAAAAAAAAAAAGTAAAATCTGCCAGTAGTTTAAACACACCTTTTTTTTTTTTGGGTCACACCCGGCGATGCACAGGAGTTACTCCTGGTTCATTCACTCAGGAGTCACTCCTGGCGGTGCTTGGGGGACCATATGGGATGCTGGGAATCGAACCTGGGTTGGCTGCATGCAAGGCAAATGCCCTACCCACTATGCTATGGCTCCAGCCCCTTAAACACACTTTTTAAAACTTAGAAAAAAAAATATATTTATGAGCAGGGAAATAGTAGAGTGGTTAGAACATCTGGATTTGATCCCCAGCACCATACACTCCAGATATGTGGAACCCTGTAGGCCCCTATCACTCACTGCAGGGTTGAGCAGCATGGCATTCTCGGGCCCTTGCATTGAGCTTTGGTTGCCTAAGAATCCCTGGTGGGGACCCTGCCATGAAACTGCTGTGCCCTGCTTGAGAGGTCCTTTCCCACCTCCCAAAAAGAGTTTAAAAAAGAAATGTCTAAGAAAACATGTTTAAAAGTTGTAGATGAGACATACTGAAGTGATGTGCTATCTGTTACAAGGCTACTTGGTCCCCCAAATTACAGAGGTCTAATTCTTTGGGATTTGATGATTCAGATGTTTTTCCTCAAAGTCATTGTCCTTCTCTTCTATTTCTGAAAATAATTTTGCTCAAGTAATTAGTTTGGCTCAAGTACTTCATTTACAGTTTAAATGTATACTAAAACATTTGACAAAAGAAATGGCTAAGGTTTATCTGAAAAGAATGTTAGCATGACTGGGTGTAGACTTAAAAGAATACATGTGGTGAATAATCTATACTGTGGAATGATCACTGAAATACCAAGGACTCTAGTTTTTCATCTGTATCACAACAACTGTATTTCATCAATAAATGTATCACAACCATCCTGTTATTCGTCGATTGCCTCGAGCAGGCCCCAGTAACGTCTCCTTCGTCCTAGCCCTGAGATTTTTTAAAAAGTGCCATATTCAAGGCTCTTTCAGAGTTAGGAGAATGAGACCCTTCACTGTTACTGGTATTTGGCATATTGGGTACGCCACGGGGAGTTTGCCAGACTCTGCCATGTGGGCAGGTTACATTCGGTAGCCTGCCAGTTTGTCCAAAGTAGGAATGAGATGATAAGATGTCGCATGGCCACGCGCTTCCGGGAGCTGGGTTTTATAGTTTCTGAGTCTTGGCCGTTGATGGGATTACACGGCGCCAGGGGGTCTGTTGGTGGGTGTGACCCCCGCCTACTGGAATTTGGAGGATCTGGGTGGAGAATACTCAGCCCCGATCCGACTAGGCTTGGAGATCTCGGCCCCGGGACCCGCGTGGCTTTGTTCCTCTGCCAGTACCTTCATGTGTGCGGAGAGTGGTCTCAGCATGGTGGTGGCTGGTTCTGGAGGTCTTCGGCTGCCGGAGCCCTGGTCGGGGCGGGGAGGAAAACTCAACCCATACAATAAATGTATGTCTATAAAAAAATAATAAAGTGTTAACTAGGGCTATGTGGCTAGCATTTGAACCCAGCTAATCTAATTAAAAAATCTCATGACTTTCCATCATGCCACACTGTTTCCTTAAACTGTTACTGTATGACCGAGGAAAATAAGCAGCAAAAAAATTAGGGAGCTATATTAAAAACTTAAATTAAAACTGCATTAAAACTAAAAAATCATGTCATGCCTATATATAAAGGAAAAAAGGAAGGATACATAACATGAAATAAAACAGTAAACCCATATGAAAAAGAAAAGTGTACATAAAGGCCTTAGAATAAGTGTTAGATTTTTAAAGAAATTTTCAGAGGGTCTTTAAGAACAGAGTACTCATATTCTCTCTACCTTCCTCCCTTTTAAAAATGATCAATAGTTCTCTTCATATTCCATCTGCTTCAATTGTCCCAATCCCAAAATGTACTAGAACAAAAAATGGGGCATTTGTTTTATTTTGGAAAGTCCTCAACAGTGATATTCAGGTAGATAGCCCAGTTACTAAGTCTATTCTGTAGCCTGAGAATTAAGAGATACTATGTTCTGAATTATTAGAAAGCATGGTCCATTATTCTGGATAATGATTTCTCTACCACATGGACCATGTGCTTATGCAGCATTAAAAAAAAAAAACAAAACTTTGTTTAGTCTTGGGTCTGTGAAAGAGGAAAAGGATATGGAGACAGAAAAAGAAGAGAAGAAATAAAACCATAAATGCTGAACCTAAGTGTAGAAAGGGTTGGGAAGAGAGGACTTTAGTATTAGTGGGAATAAAGCCAGATGCTTTGAATTTAAAGAGATTAAGAATTTCTTTATACGGCAAAAAACTTAGTGAATGATGATGTAGAGCAGAAAATACTTTGTGAAAGACAAATGGCTGCCTTCAGTTGCAAATTCCTTTTAACTTCTCAATCTCCACAAAAGAGTTTAAAAAAGAGAAAGCAATGCAGACTTTGCTTGGAATCTGAACCAATGTTGGAGTTGTAGCCACATGCTAGGCAAATGCCTTTACCTCTACTATCCCTCTGGCCTTCTTCTACCAATATTAACATCAAGTGTTTGGGCTATCTAACTCCTTAATAGGATTTGAGCTTTAATAGTTTTTACTGGCAGCTGGCTGTAAACCAGGATTTGAACAGTATACTTTAGGACTATTTAGAAATGGGAATAGTTTGTGATTAAACTCTACTCTCAATTAACATAGGCTTGGTATGAGCTATTATCTCAACCTTTGAAAGACATATCTGGGGCTGGAGCAATAGCACGGCGGGTAGGGTGTTTGCCTTCCATGCGGCCAACCCGAGTTCGATTCCCAGCATCCCATATGGTCCCCTGAGCACCGCCAGGGGTAATTCCTGAGCGCAGAGCCAGGAATAACCCCTGTGCACTGCTGGGTGTGACCCAAAAAGAAAAAAAAAAAGAAAGAAAAAAAAGAGACATATCTGCTGACAGTTTTAGGTGTACAGTTATAAATAAAAGATTTTAAAACAAAGTTCTAAACTAAACCTAATCATTCTTCACAACTAGCATTTTATTTATATTTTATGTGTTTGCACACACACTTAAAGAAAACACACACACATACATACATATAAAATAAAGATGATGTGGAAATTCCTGATAAATGATTTCTTAAAGAAAATTTATTAGCTCTATAACCTTTGACTACTAAAGAAACGTCAGTATGTACAGATCAGCATGAAGTTTCCAGTTTCTAAACTGGATATGAATATGCCTCAAGCACCAGGGAACAAACAGTAACCCTAACTGGGGAAAAAAAAATCCAAAGAAATAAACAAAGAAAAATACCCTTCAACTCTCTTGAATATAAACATTTTTGAACCATATGGGAAACTACATTTCCATTCATCTTGGTCAATTTCCAATAAAAATTGATCAGGGAAAAAAAGGATAAACCATTACAAATAAAGATGATGTCTCAAAAGAACTTTTTGTAGAAATTGTTTTAAATAATAGTCTTACCCTATCAAATATGCATTATGTAACACATAGGGGGGAAGATTCTTTATTTTTAAAATCTAAAAACTCAAAATAGCACAATCATAACAAGAATTGAGTGAAAGTCTTCACAGGAACATTTTCTTTTCTTTTTTTTTTTTTTAAATGGTTTTTGGATCACACCCAGTGATGCTCAGGAGTTACTTACTCCTGGTTCTGAACTCAGGAATCACTCCTGGTGAGCTTGGGGGACCATAGGGGATGCTGAGGCCAATTGAACCTGAGTTGGCCTGTGTGCAAGACAAACACCCTATCCATTGTACCTATCACTACGACCCCCACAGGGTCTTTATTTATAAACCAAATAAAGAGTCTTTGGATTTCAACTTCTTCCCTGGCACCACTGGCATCTTCCAGCAGTGGTGAAATTTATATAACATATAGGCAAAGAAAGAGACTTGGTAGGCTGAGCACAACCTTCATGGGATTTCATAAGAAATCTCATGGGCATAAAAAAAGAAAAGTCAAATAATGAATAGAAATAAAAACAGAAAAAATATATCTAAGCCTGAATAAGTCAAGATGGGGAGGTTTTAAGTGTACAAATTGGTAATTGTTAAGTATGGAGTAAGGAATGCATCTTTAACTACAAATGTGGATTGTATACACATTTATATTAAGATAAGTCAGTTCATATATTACACTTGACAATTCAAACAAGATGTGTCCGATGAATGGTGGAAGGTGGTTTTATTTGCTCAGTTTCTCAGGCACCAGTCCTTTGTCCTGGCTGATTGGTACTCTCTGCACAGGATTCAACAGTGTGGTATATGAATGGATAAAGCTTGATATCTGGTCCAGGGGTAGAACAGTTTCTGCATTCTTCATTGTAATATCGGAGCAACAATTTATATACTTCTCCTAGAGAATGAAAGGTCAAACAATTTGCATATTGATTTTATAGATCAAGGTATTCAAGAACACTTCAATTTTGTCTTTTTTTAAATGGAACTGGGGGAAGGTAAACCCAGTGATGTTCAAGTCTTACTCCTAGTTCTGTGCTCAGGGATCACTCCTGCTGAGCTCAGGGGATCATATATGGTGCTAAGAATTGTACCCTAGTCAGCTACATGCAAGGAAGCACCCTACCTGCTGTACTATCACTCCATCCTCACCAATTTTGTCTTAATGTATATAACATATTTGAATTTGATTGGTGAAAATAAATCATGTATTTCACATGCCGAGAAATGTTTTAATTTGCTCATTTTGGGGCCACACCCAGTGGTGCTCAGGGTTTCTCCTAGCAGTGCTTCTGAGAACACATGGGGTGCTAGGGATCAAACCCAGAGTGGATGCATGCAAGGCAAGTGCCTTACCCACTACCTTATCTCCTTAGCCCTAGAGGGCTCTTATGTGAACTTAATCTACGTCTTTCCTCAGTTAATATTCTATAATATTCTACGTATACAGAAATTATCAACAGTGACTTCAGCTTCTTTTAAAGCTCATTTATTTATTTATTTATTTATTTTGGTTTTGGTGTCACTCCCAGCTGTGCTCAGGATTTATCCTGACTTTGCACTCAGGGATCACTCCAGGATGCTGGGGATTGAACTCAGGTCAACCATGTGTAAGGCAAATGCCATACCTGCTATACTATCTCTCTGGACCCAACTCTAGCTTCTTTATTTTATAGATTCTTACTTCAATGAATTCCATACTCACATTTAAGTTTGCAAGTAAAACTTCAGAAAAAAGCCTATAAAGGTTGCTCCTTCAGGGCTGGAGCAATAGTACAGTGGGTAGGGCATTTGCTTTGCATGTGACCGACCTGGGTTCGATTCCCAGCATCCCATATGGTCCCCGAGAACCACCAGGAGTAATTCCTGAGTGCAAATCCAGGAGTAACCCCTGTGTATAGCCTGGTGTGACCGCCCCCCCCCCCCAAAAAAAAAAACCAAAAAAAAAACCACAAAAAAACAGCCAAAAAAATCAAACCAAAATACACCAAAAAAGTTGCCCCTTCAAGAATTTGTCCTTTCCACTGAAAACCATACTTTCATTTTTTTCTGAGTCACTGAGATCTATCCAGATTTAGCAAGTATACCTCTTAGATATTGTATAATCCATCTAGATACAGTGTCAAGGCAATCTCCTACTTACCAACAGTCAGTTTCCTTTCAGTAAGGAAAGTGTGCATGCTGTAAATGTCTCTCATCAATTCTGAGTCCCCAAAGGTAAAATAAACCACATCTCGCTCAGCTACGGCTGCTGCCAGTATCTGTATTAAGGCTGAAGCAAAGAGAGAAAACACAGCCACATTATGTCACTTCTTATCAAGACACCTTTAGTTCTTTCAACCAGCTAAATTATTGTTGGAGTGTCACAGATTTATCCTGGATAGAAGATTTACAAATATAAATATGTATGTTATTTAAAATAGAAAATACAGAATAGGTATGAACCATCTAGTTATGAATGCTTTAGACATGTTGCCAACAGTGTCATTAAGTGACAATTCCCACATAAGCACATTTTCTGTTCCATAAATAAACGTACACTTGAGGTAGGACAGCGAAGGGACCAAGGTGATATACTTTTCAACTGTATTAATTTGGAACTGAAATTTGTGCACCTGATTTAATGATTTTTGTCTTATTACACAGTTCATCTTTTGTCTTACTGACTCGGGCAGCGCTCATTAACCCTTCCCAAACATTTTCAAAATGATTGAGAGTGCACCTTTGCCTCTTCTGCACTCCCTCCTCCACATCATCACTGCAACATATAGTGAACATGACTGAAAACAATGAGTAATAACTCTGGTAGGCTGAAATTGAAGGTCACTGAGAACTAGTGTCCTTAGGAATCAAAGGTAAAAATCATTAAGCTTGAAGTATGTTTTAAAATTTTTATTCTTGTGTAATCTTAACCTCGACAGATTTGTTTTTCCTCCATAAAAGAGAAGGTGGGATTCAAAATCTATAAAGGATAATATCTGTATAGTTTTGATTTGGAGGTGGGGCATGCTAATCAGTTGTATATGGAAATGGAAATTAGAACTCTAAGAATGGGAAGGGGGAGAGCCTACTATTTTTTTAAACTTTTTTTTATTATTATTAGTGAAACACCATGAGGTACAGTTGTAGACTTACAAACTTTTGTGCTTGGATTTCAATTATACAATGATCAAGTACCCATCCCTCCACCAGTGCCCATTTTCCACCACCATGGATCCCAGTATCCCTCCCAGACCCATTCCCCCCCCCCCCCCATCCCACCCTGCCTCTGTGGCAGGGCATTCCCTTTTGTTCTCTCTCTCCTTTTGGGTGTTGTGGTCTGCAAAAGAGGCTTTGGGTGGCAAACATGTTCAGTCCATAGTCTACTTTCAACATGCATCTTCCCTCCTGGGAGGATCCTCCAAACATCCTTTATTTAGTGGAGAGCCTACTATTTAAATTGAAAGCAAACTAAGATAAGTGAGCCAATTTTATTTCAAAAGAATAATATATGTCGAACAAAAACAATGAAAAACAGAACTAATCCAAGTAACTATGAAGACAGTATTTGACTAATATCTTTAGTACGAGGCAAAAAGGAAAGAATTGTAAACTAATATGTAACTATTTTTTACTAAGTTTGCTTATCATAGTAGTACAGGGAAAGAAATTCTGAAATGATTTTAAAATATGGTATATAATTGAGTGAAGGAGTAAATGCATCGATACTACTGGGAATGAGATGGAGTACGCAAACCTGAAATGGGGCAAAGCAAAATTAACTCTCTGAGGGTAGACTGAAAGAGAAAGCACTGTTGTGTACTCATGACTTCTGAAAAATATAAATTACCAAAAGGCTTAGTGGCTGGTGAGCAGTACTTGTATTTAAGGGTTACTGGGGCATAAGAGCGCAAACAGCACCTTGAATGTTATTGTAGAAAGGACAAAAGTATCTTACTTTTTTTTTTCAGCTTTTTCGGTCATACCTGGCAACGCTCAGGGGTTACTAATGCTCTGCACTCAGGAATCCCTCCTTGCGGTGCTTGGGGGACCATATGGGATGCTGTGAATCGAACCTGGGCTGGCCACAAATGCTCTACCTGCTGTGCTATCGATCAGGCCCCACGTACTTTTCAATTTACTTTGTTTTACCCTGTTTTTCAACTTGCATTTAAATAATATAAATGAAGTGTTTGAGGAAATCCTGGCTGGCATGTGAAAGATAGGCGTTGACTAGAACAAAGTAACTCAGCATGGCAACTCTGCCACTGTGGCAAAGTGAACAAGTCCCTCGGATGATCAGGGTTCAAATCTCAATCCCACTGCTTTCCGGTCCTGTGACCTTAGTCAAACTACTTACCTTTCAGTGCCTGCATTACCTGATTTTCAAAACTGAGATAATATTAATAATTTAGTAATTTTATAATATTAACCAATGTGAGCTTTTGTAAGTACTGGATGAGGGAAATCTTATAAATTTTGAGCTAGTGTCCATAAAACTGCTAAAACATAAGATCTCACTGTGAGTAGTGGTTACTAATATTAATTGCTGATGGCCTCAATGCATACCTGTGCAATTAATATCCATTATTTTATTTTTTGTTTTGGTTCATTTTGTTGCTGAAAGACAGTTTTTCCCCATATTTATTAGTACTTTTTGCGGGGGTTGAGGGCCACATTTGGTGGTGCTCAAGAGAATATTTCTGGCTCTGCGTTCAAGGATTACTTCTGGTGGGTTCAGGGGACCATGTAGGGTGCCATGGATCAAATGCGGGTCAACTGCATGCAAGGCAAATGCTCTACCCGCTATACTGTTGCTCAGGCCCTTGTGTTTTCTTTATAGCTTAATATTGATGCCAAAAAGTAAATTAAAACTAAGCTACCTGCAGGTCAATTTAAGTAATTATTTTGGCACCTCATTGTGCTTGCAGTCAAAATTTGATGCTTTTATATCATACTTGGAATCAGTTCAACAATCTGTTATATTTTTGATTCATTCTCATTTAATTTGTGATGCAGAGTTCACTTAAATCATAACATAATATTCTAGATTTGCAAAGGTCTTAGATATGTTATACATATTTAGATATGTACATATACTGCTAAATCTGATTTCTTTTTTTTTGCTTTTTGGGTCATACCCAGCGATGCTCAGGAGTTATTCCTAGCTCTGCACTCAGGAAATTACTCCTGGTGGTGCTTGCGCGACCATATGGGATGCTAGGAATCGAACCCAGGTTGGCCACGTGCACGGCAAACACCCTACCCACTGTACTATCGCTCCGGCCCCTAATCTGATCTTTTGTCAGTGATTATTAATGTATCTGTGTTCAAGGTTAATATATATTCCTAAATTTTTATTTAGGTCAAATAAAATATGTATTTATATTTTGCTTTTTGGGTTATACCCAGCGATGCTTAGGGATTACTCCTGGCTCTGCACTCAGGAATTACTCCTGGTAGTGCTTTGGGGGCCATATGGGATGCTGGGGATCGAACCTGGGTTGGCTGTGTGCAAGGAAAACGCCCTACCTGCCGTATTACTGCTCCGGCCCTAAAATAATTTTTATTTGTGTCTAATATTAAATGTAAAGAAGACAATTACAGCGGAATTTTTTTTAAACAGAAGTTTTCAGAGAGATTCACATCATTTGATTCAACTATTACTGCATAGCTGAGCAAAACAAGAACAAGAGAGTTAACTGACTTTATTTGAGAGTCACAGAGCTAGAGAAGAAAGAAGGACAAACTAAACTCTGGTTTCTGTCTTCAGTTCCATCTTGTCCGTATCATGCTTGTTATACTGTGTACCCAAATTGGTACATTAAATTAAAAATGTCATCAGAATAATTTCTTGTTAGGATTCAACTGTTTCAGTGACTCTAACAGGCTTAACTTCAAAAGCTTATACTGGCAACAAAACAGCTTGTGAAACATTTTAATTTTATTTGGGGAAAGGGACACAACCACCATTGCTCAGGGACTACTCTTCACAAAAGGCACTGACCAGGGACTGGAGAGATAGTATAGTGTGTCGGACACTTGCCTTGTAAGGGACTGACCCAGATCCAGTCCCTGGCACCGTACATGATCCTGTGAGCCTGCCAGAAGTAATCCTACAAGCTGGTAGTAATCCCTGAGCATCAGGAGTGAGACACAAACAAACAAACAAACAAACAAACAAGGCACTGACCAATGATCTAGCATTTTTGTTTGTAAGAGAGCCAAAAATCTTTTGCAGGGACTCTCTCCACCTTCTCTTCTAGTCACACCAGGCTATGCTCTGGGCTTCCTCCTGCCTGTGCTCAGGGGTACATGTGGTGCCGGGGACTGAACTCACGTGGGCCTCATGCAAGGCAAGCAAGCGCCTTACCCACTGTACTATCTCTCCAGTCCCTCTTTCTTTCTTTCTTTCTTTCTTTCTTTCTTTCTTTCTTTCTTTCTTTCTTTCTTTCTTTCCTTTCCTTCTTTCCTTCCTTTCCCCCTTCCTTCCTTCCTTCCTTCCTTCCTTCCTTCCTTCCTTCCTTCCTTCCTTCCTCCCTCCCTCCCTCCCTCCCTTCACACAAAATTCTTTCCTTTTTTGATGTGGGGGGAACACCTGGTTGTGCTCAAGGTTTACTCTTGGATCTGTGCTCAGGGATCACTCCTGGAGGTGTTCTGGAGATCAAGCAAGGATCAGCTGCATGCCAAGCCAGTGCCCTAAGTCTTGCACTATCTCTATAGAGTCCTTAGTAGAAAATTCTTAAAGCTAAATTTTCATTCTCACTGAAAGGTAAGAAATGACACCTTTCGGTATATGAAAATGACAATTCATTAGTCTCTATTTTTATAAGAAGTTTAGGTTAATTAGCAACCTTTTAAAATTTAGTGTACCGAAGCTTTAATGTATGTGTAAGTTGGTTGAGCAGTTTTAATTAAAATTTCTCTATTTTGAGATTAATAACTGATAATACTCCAAAGATTAATGAGGCCTAGTTATGGTACCTCACATGTTGTGGATACTTAAGAAATAAAGTTAGGAAGTACTTTGGTATTTTAGGGTCTCATATATTTTATACTGTTTTCCAAATCTGGGAATAAATATTCAACTATTACTTTTACTGTTCAACTTAAGAATATTTTTCTTGGGGCCAAACAGATAGTTCAGTAGGTAATGCCTACTTGCCTTCCATATGGTTGACTGGGGTTTGATCCCCAGCATACTATATGGGTCCCCCAGCAGATCAGGAGTGAGCCCTGAGCATAGCAAGGTGTGGGTCCAAAGCAAAAACAAAAGACAAAACCCCAGAAAAT